GTGTTCCTGAGAGTCTTATTTCTTTTTAGTGATGGGTCATAATATTTTGTAGCTTAAACTGTTCAAAAGATAGAGCCACATTTGTAGGAAGAAAATAGAAACCACTGTTTATTATAACCGCATCTAGTGGCTACTATGAACTAAGCGCAAATTAGTACATTTCATTTCAGAGTTTCTCTCGTGACCCCTAGTTTGGGAAACGCTGTTGTACAACATGTTGATCATCATGTCGTTTACAGTAACAGCAGACATAGAAGCAACATACCTTTTACTGTAAAGTAACACACTCATGTTTAGCTATTGGGTAGAGGCGTCCAGAGAATTAGTTCACTCAGCCACTCAGATTAATTAAATGAACATGCTGGTGGTACCACCTATATTTTGTTGCTATCAAATGATAAATAATTGTCCGCTTTCTCATGTATTTCCTGATTTGTGTTTTAATGGGAAATGCCAATCTAGTAAATGTACAGTCTGTTGGATGTTGACTTAGTGTTGGCACACCTCAACTACTAGAGGCTCTTTTCTATACTACACCTTCTAATGCCTGACCGTGAAGGGAAATTGCATTCACAGTACTTAAGCCTCCGTTTAGCAGGCTTACAGTGACCCGCAGTCAATCCCGGCTCAAACCCAGTCTCTCACACAAATTCCTATAAATGTCTGATAATGTGAACTGGAACATGAAAGAAAGCATCTAAGATACTGTACATATTCATCATAACAATACCGAACCAATCTCCATAGTGGGAACAATATCTAATGCAAACATACATGACTTCAAATCAAATCAAATCAAATTTTATTGGTCACATGCGCCGAATACAACAGGTGCAGACATTACAGTGAAATGCTTACTTACAGCCCTTAACCAACAGTGCATTTATTTTAAACAAAAAAAGTAAAAATAAAACAACAACAAAAAAAGTGTTGAGAAAAAAAAGAGCAGAAGTAAAATAAAGTGACAGTAGGGAGGCTATATATACAGGGGGGTACCGTTGCAGAGTCAATGTGCGGGGGCACCGGCTAGTTGAGGTAGTTGAGGTAATATGTACATGTGGGTAGAGTTAAAGTGACTATGCATAAATACTTAACAGAGTAGCAGCAGCGTAAAAAGGATGGGGTGGGGGGGCAGTGCAAATAGTCCGGGTAGCCATGATTTTCTGTTCAGGAGTCTTATGGCTTGGGGGTAGAAGCTGTTGAGAAGTATTTTGGACCTAGACTTGGCACTCCGGTACTGCTTGCCGTGCGGTAGCAGAGAGAACAGTCTATGACTAGGGTGGCTGGAGTCTTTGACAATTTTGAGGGCCTTCCTCTGACACCGCCTGGTATAGAGGTCCTGGATGGCAGGAAGCTTTGCCCCAGTGATGTACTGGGCCGTACGCACTACCCTCTGCCAAGCAGTTGCCATACCAGGCGGTGATGCAACCAGTCAGGATGCTCTCGATGGTGCAGCTGTAGAATTTTTTGAGGATCTGAGGACCCATGCCAAATCTTTTTAGTCTCCTGAGGGGTAATAGGCTTTGTCGTGCCCTCTTCACGACTGTCTTGGTGTGTTTGGACCATGATAGTTCGTTGGTGATGTGGACACCAAGGAACTTGAAGCTCTCAACCTGTTCCACTACAGCCCCGTCGATGAGAATGGGGGCGTGCTCAGTCCTCTTTTTTTTCCTGTAGTCCACAATCATCTCCTTTGTCTTGGTCACGTTGAGGGAGAGGTTGTTGTCCTGGCACCACACGGCTCAGTTCAGCCATGTAAGCTACAAGTATGAAGTAGCAGTCAGTCTATGTTGAGGAGTAAAATCTGATTTAGCATCAGACCATTCCCTCTCTAAATGTGACATAAAAACATCACCAAGCCGGGACTGTAAAAGCTCCAGATTTATGTGTGTGTGTGTAGGTCAGAGGGAGCTGTAAGTTACAGCTGCAGTATGCCTTAACGGCTTGTGTCATAATGGCAGATAAAGCCGTTTCTACACACTGCCAGCTACAGCAGCAGCTCTCGTGTCTGAGAGGGGAAAATGGCAGAAGAAGTGGGAGTGAAACTAAATATTTTGCGGCCTGTCGAGGTGTTTGTGTGTGTCTACGGCCCGTCGTAGTGTTTGTGTGTGTCTACGGCCTGTCGTGGTGTTTGTGTGTGTCTACGGCCTGTCGTAGTGTTTGTGTGTGTCTACGGCCTGTCGTAGTGTTTTGGTGTTTGTCCTACGGCCTGTCGTTAGTGTTTGTGTGTGTCTACTGGCCTGTCGTAGTGTTTGTGTGTGTCTACGGCCTGTCGTAGTGTTTGTGGGTGTGTCTACGGCCTGTCGTAGTGTTTGTGTGTGCTTACATCCGGTCGTAGTGGTTGTTGTGTGTCTAACGGCCTGTCGTAGTGTTTGTGTGTGTCCCTACGGTCCTGTCGTAGTGTTTGTGTGGTGGCTAACGGCCCTGTCGTAGTGTTTGGTGTGTCTACAGCCTGTTCGTAGTGGTTGTGTGCGTTCTACGGCCCTGTCGTAGTGTTTTGTGGCGTCACAGCCTGTCGTAGTGTTTGGGTGTTGTCTACGGCCTGTCGTGAGTGTTTTGTGGTGTCTACAGCCTGTCGTATGGTTGGTTTTCTACGGCCTGTCGTAGTGTTTGTGTGCGTATACGGCCTGTCCGTAGTGTTGTGTGCGTTACGGCCTTGTCGTAGTGTTTTTTGTTGTGCGTCTACGGCCTGTCGTCGTGTTTGTGTGCGTCTACGGCCTGTCGTAGTGTTTGTGTGTGTCTACGGCCTGTCGTAGTGTTTGTGTGTGTCTACGGCCTGTCGTAGTGTTTGTGTGTGTCTACGGCCTGTCGTAGTGTTTGTGTGTGTCTACGGCCTGTCGTAGTGTTGTTGTGCGTCTACGGCCTGTCGTAGTGTTTGTGTGCGTCTACGGCCTGTCGTAGTGTTTGTGTGTGTCTACGGCCTGTCGTAGTGTTTGTGTGTGCCTAGGGGAGGCGGCCTGTCGTAGTAGTTTGTGTGCGTCTACGGCCTGTCGTAGTGTTTGTGTGCGTCTACGGCCTGTCGTATTGTTTGTGTGCGTCTACGGCCTGTCGTAGTGTTTGTGTGCGTCTACGGCCTGTCGTAGTGGTTGTGTGTGTCTACGGCCTGTCGTAGTGTTTGTGTGTGTCTACGGCCTGTCGTAGTGGTTGTGTGTGTCTACGGCCTGTCGTAGTGGTTGTGTGTGTCTACGGCCTGTCGTAGTGTTTGTGTGTGTCTATGGCCTTTCGTAGTGGTTGTGTGTGTCTACGGCCTGTCGTAGTGTTTGTGTGTGTCTATGGCCTGTCGTAGTGTTTGTGTGTGTCTACGGCCTGTCGTAGTGGTTGTGTGTGCCTATGGCCTGTCGAGGTGTGTGTGTATGATCTGCCGTGGTGTGTGTGATGGGAACAGCTGGCAGGGGGAATGAGTACGTAGGGAGAGGTGATGGATGCTAGCGGTGCGGTGCAGCAGTGACAGATGATTTAAACAGGTGTTCTGTACAGCCCTCTGAGACACCTCGCTTATGAGCCGGAAAACACAGCCAGACACAAACCACAACACCCACACACCACACCCAAACTCAACACAACACACACAGACACACCGCACCCAACACACAAACGCACTATACTCTAACCCAAAACACAGCCAGACACAAAACACATAGCACCCTAACCCAACACAACACACACATTGCATCCTAACCCACCACAACACACACATTGCGTCCTAACCCAACACACACATTGCATCTTAACCCAACACAACACACACATTGCATCCTAACCCAACACAAACACATTGCATTCTAACCCAACACACACATAGCCAACACACCACAACCCAAGACACAAGTCTGTCACACTGCACCACAACCCAACACACACTCTATCAAAGTAACCCTACCCACAAACACACAGGAAAACAACCCTACACACAAACCGAACACACAACGCACCACAATCAAGACAGACTAATTCAAAATAACCTTCAACAACCATAGTTCACTTTACAGTTTTAATATATTCAGTTCTTCTTTTCACCAAAAGTGATACAGACCTCATTGATTGATAAACACATTTTTGGTTACCTAAGAAAACATAACTTTTTCACTTACAGACACACTTCACAGGCGTTGCTCTGTTGGAAACAATACAAGGGTTTGGAATGGATGAGGCACATAACACAGTGAGAATAGTACTGTATCTTGTTTATATCAATGTCATACAGTATATAGCATCATGGTAGTTCATTTGTCTTGGCTTTTGGCTCTTGAAAAGCTTTAGAGGTTTCAAATCCCAATAACAGTATTTAAATATTAATATTAATATTAAATAAAAGGCTATAAGGAATCTAGGAGTGCTTTTCTCTTTGCACTAAAAAGGTGGTCTGGGGAGATACAGAGTCTCTGGTCTGGGGAGATACAGAGTCTCTGGTCTGGGGAGATACAGAGTCTTTAGTCTTGGGAGATACAGTCTCTGGTCTGGGGAGATACAGAGTCTCTGGTCTGGGGAGATACAGAGTCTCTGGTCTGGGGAGATACAGAGTCTCTGGTCTGGGGAGATACAGAGTCTCTGGTCTGGGGAGATACAGTCTCTGGTCTGGGGAGATACAGAGTCTCTGGTCTGGGGAGATACAGTCTCTGGTCTGGGGAGATACAGAGTCTCTGGTCTGGGGAGATACAGTCTCTGGTCTGGGGAGATACAGTATCTGGTCTGGGGAGATACAGAGTCTCTGGTCTGGGGAGACACAAGATTCCTGTTGAAATGAAATGCAGCAGAAACATTGATGCTCATTGTTGACAATAGATGGTCACAGCGTAACAAAATATGAGGTGTGTGTATGAACTGTATGGGAGGATGTGTAAGCATAAGGGAAACAATATCAATCTCTTTGCCTGCATGTAAGTGTGTGTTTGTGTGACAGAGAATGAAAGAGAGAGGAAGAAGCATAGAGATTGGGAGACAGAAATAAATGTGGACTTCTCCCTGTGTTGGAGGACTGGGGCTAGGGGGCGCTGTAGGCT